ATTATAGTGCTGCCAATTGGTCCAATGGTGAGAATCATTGCTTTGTTTTTTGATGCTAGGCTTCAATCCATATTGAAGACTACAGTCTCTGACCTTCCACAGCAAATGCTTTAGATCTTCCTCAATTCCCTTGAGAAAGGTGGTGTCACTTGCATAATGCAGGTTGTTGATGAGTCTTCCTCCAATCCTGGTGCCACATTCCTCCTCATAAAGTCCAGCCTCCTGGATGACCTGTGTATAGATTGAAAAGATATGGAGACAGGATGCATCCCTGATGTAGTCCTTTCCTGATTTTGGACCATGCAGTGTTTTCTTGCTCTGTTCAGAGAACAGCTTCCTGGTCCAAGTATAGGTTTTGCATGAGTACAGTCAAGGAAGAAGAGGAAATTATGGGATTGCAGAGTTTGGCAGGGCGAGGGTGGGAGTACAGGAATTAGAAAAAATCCAGTGGAGACCTGAAAAGATGGAGTAATAGTGGGCAGAGATCAATGGCAATTGATTTTATAATACATAAAGTATGGGAATGACCATATGATACAAAACAAGAATGAAGGAACATGTGAAACAATGTCTATGAAACACATTCTTTACAGATTTTCTATGCAAACCAATATAAAATTTTTTAAAAAGAGGAAAAAACTGTAGTGATTCAACCCACCATTTGGTTTCCAAAACAGTGAATTGTGCTGGACTGGATGGCCCATTTTTCTCTTGGAGCCATTGTGAATCCAAACCACTTGGGAAATTCAGCTTTAGGATTAGCAGTGCAACTTGCTAAAGACTTAAGTCCACAGAGCTCTTCCAGATCATAGATGTTATTGTTAGGCGCCCTCGAATCGGAACTGAGTCATGCTGATTGTCTAGCAGGTTTTCTGAGGATACAAATCATATGAGAGAAGATTGCCCTTCTTTCTCTTGCAGAGCTGCTGGTGGATTCGAACTGCTTGCCTTTGGGTTGACAGTTCAACTCCTTCCCTATAAGCCACCATAACTGTCTCTAGATTATAGATATACTGTAAATTTCTGTATTTTTATCAGCTAGAATTTATTTTTGTTCTGTAAAGCTGGACTCTATGAGGAGAATTGTGGCATCAGGATTGGTGGAAGATCTATTAACAATCTGTGTTATGCAGATGACACTACCCTGCTTGCTGAAACTGAGGAGGACCTCATGCACTTGCTGTGGAGGGTCAAGGACTGCAGCCTTCAGTATGGACTGAGGCTCAATGTCAAGAAGACAAAGATTCTCACCACTGGACCAACTGGCAGCATCAGGATGGATGGGGAAGAGATTGAGATTGTTCACAGCTTCAGTTTGCTCGGCTCCACAGTCAACACTCTTGGCACCAGCAGTCAGGAAATAAAAAAGTGTATCCCGATGGGAAAGTCTGCTGTTAGGGACCTCTCTAAAGTACTCAAGAGCAATGGTGTCTCTCTGGAGACTAAGGTACGTCTGATACAGGCCATGGTCTTTGCAATCACTTGTTATGCATCAGACAGAGTTGGACAATGACTAGAGAGGACAGAAGGAGAATTGATGCCTTTGAGCTGTGATGCTGGAGAAGAGTATTGAATGTACCATGGACTGCCAAGAAAACAAACAGATTCATCCTGGAGAGGATTAAACCAAGCAACTCCTTGGAGGCAAGGATTCTGGGGCTTCGTCTGACATACTTTGGGCATGTTGCCAGGAGGGACGGGTCCTTGGAGGGGGGCATCATGCTTGGGAGGGTGGAGAGACGGTGCAGGAGGGGAAGACCCTCTATGAGATGGATTGATTCGGTGACTGGGGTAATGGGGATGGGTGTGTCGGAGGCAGTGCGATTGGCACAGGATAGAGCAGGGTTTAAGGCTGTTGTGCATAGGGTCGCTATGAGTCGCAAACGACTCGACGGCACATAACAACAACAACAACAACAAAGCAATGAGAAATTTTGAGCATTTAAATCCAGTCCATGAATGATATGATTTGAAATTAGTCTTCCTTTCCTGTTAGGATTCAACTCTTACTAGTGCAGACATGCCACTGAATAAATGAAGCCAAATCAAAAGAATTCACATGGTAAGATTCCTTTTATATGAAACTCATAGACACAAGCTAGTTTGTGGTGATAGAAAGCAGAATGTTCACCTTTGAAGGGTAAGTGTTTACTGAATTCGATCACAAGGGAACTTTCTGGAGTGCTAAAAAAGGCTGTATTGATTTGAGTAGTAAAGATGCATACAAAGGGTTTTCAGAGGCCTGCTATTTCACAAGTGGATGGCCAGTCCTTCTTCCTAGTCTGTCTTAATGTGAATGTTCAGATTTAGAGAAGTATCAGACAGACCAGCAAGTTAAAGGTATATCCCTTACTGCGGAGTTAACTTTAGTGTCAGTGTTGTCCCTGCCTTTCTCACACGCGTCTTTACCCACTTATTTCCCTGCTCCACCATCCACCAGGATACCCATCCACTTCTACCCCCACCCTTCACATCTAGCTCCCTTTGAGCAGCCCTCCATCTAATAAATTATATATGAAGCTTCCATGGCTTCTGTGATTCCAAACACATCGGCTGATGGTAGTTCCTTTATGTTGGGATCAATGTCTCTGAAGTTTAGTCGTAATGTTTCCCAAGCAAAGGTGATGCATCCTGTAGAACTGGTGTGTGGATAGGCTTTTCTTGGCCCGAGGGCCGGAACGAATGTCGCGCAGTTTTTGTGTCTTCGATTACCTAGGAAGATGGGAGGGGTCTGAGACTGGCCTCTAAGCTGCCCAGCTTTCAGCTAGTCGGTCGCCTTAACCCCTTCTCTGAGCTTGGCTCCATAGTCAACAGTCTTGGCACCAGAAGCCAGGAAATTAAAAGGCTCATTTCCATGGGTAAGTCTGCAGTAAGGGACCTCTCCAAAGTACTGAAGAGCAATGGTGTCTCTCTGGAGACTAAGGTGCGTCTAATACAGGCCATGGTCTTCGCAATCACTTATTATGCATCAGAGAGTCGGACAATGACCAAGGAGGATAGAAGGAGAATTGATGCCTTTGAGCTGTGGTGCTGGAGAAGAGTATTGAGAATACCATGGACTGCTAGGAAAACAAACAGATTTGTCCTGGAAAGGATTAAACCAAGCAACTCCTTGGAGGCAAGGATTCTGAGGCTCCATCTAATGTACTTTGGACATGTTGTGAGGAGAGACCAGTCCTCCTTGGAGAAGGACATCATGCTTGGGAGGGTGGAGGGACAGTGCAGGAGAGGAAGGCCCTCTATGAGGTGCATTGATTCAGTGACTGGGATAATTGGGATGGGAGTGTCAGAGACAGTGCAATTGGCATAGGATAGAGCAGAGTTTAGGGCTGTTGTACATAGGGTCGCTATGAGTCGCAAGTGACTCGACGGCACATAACAACAACAACAACCACATTTTCCTCTTAGAAATAGAATTGATGCAGGAGATTGACAGGACTTCTGGCAGTGTAGAGCATAGTTACTCAATGCTGCTCGCCTTAGGTAGCACCTTTCTGATGGTTCAAATCCACCAATTGCTCTTTGGGAGATAGATGTGAAATCTCCTCCCATGTGATTTTAAGCCTTGGAAACCCGCAGGAAGGTCAGTACTGAACCAGTTCAGACTTTGGGGGCATAGTCCAGAGGGGGTGTGTTTCCAACCCTAAGACTGAGCCTTGCTGGTAGTTTGAATCACACCAGACACTCTGAAGGAGAAAGATGGTCAATCTCCTCGCATGTAATATGAAGCCTGGATCACCTAATAGAGGGTCAGCTGAGTTGATTCCAAGTCATTGGCCTGGGCATGGTGCTAAGGTGTAGCACTCCAGGGTAATAACATTTGTAATGAGTGGGCTCTTCTCCTTAGAGGATCCTGGGAATTGGGCTCTTCTTTTTTTGGGGGGGCTCTTCTTAGCCTCATGACACTGCAGATGCCAATGTTCACTTTCTTGGACTGTCAGCTGTCACTTTCAGAAATAGCAGTAGCCTCAGGAGAAGAAAGCACTGCCAAATGCCAAGCTCATCTGTCTTGAGTTCCCCTCTTCTGAATCTTTATATGTTGGTATCTAATGCCTTCACATACCTTTTCTTTTAGGGGAAAAAGTTCTAGTCATTCTTAGATGAAGAACCTGGCTAAAACAACTTTTAATCTGCTGTTATCTTAAGTGAAAACTCTGGAATTTTATTTCAGAGAGGCCCCATTTGTTACTTTTTGCTATACTTATTGTTCATGAAGATGTTTTTGACGTTATTTCCTTTGAGAAATTTGTGGTTTAGATACAAAAAGAAAGCCAGCTAGAATCAGAGCAGTGCAGGTCATCCTGATGATCGCTTGACTTCATCACCTGGATAAGTTTTGTCCAAGTTTTCCTTTCTGGAAATGTAATAGTACTGAAAACTAGCTGTGAGGACAGTGACCTGAAATCTCTATTATTAAGCACTTTGACAGAGTAGGTAGACGATCTCCTCACATGCAATTTCCAGCCTCTGAAAACTACAAGTAGGTCAGTTATGAAGACGTTCTGACTCCACAGCAAGGAGGGTTTGAGTCATTCAGACTAAAGAGATCCTTAGTGGTGTAATGTGTTACACGTTGGGCTGCTAATGGAAATGTCCACAGTTTGAATCTAGCAGCTGCTCTGAAAGATTTCAGCCTCAGGAATAGCTGGAGAGTTGTTCAGAGTCAGAACCATGGGAGGGGGAGTGTTTTCCCCATCTCAGTATTCAGAACAATATGAGAAAGACAAGTTTATTACGTTAAAGATGACGTCTCTCTAGTATCGACTTCTAAGGGAAAACATATCATTCTAAGATTTTTATTACTAGAACTGCTTATTCTCCTAACAATGATGGAAATATTTTCTAATAATAAAATTTATCCATATTCATAAAAGTGGTATATAAATAGATGTTTTAGGTAACCTTTTTTATGTTTTAGATGGTGAAGCAAATGAAAAATCCTCGCACGGTCGTAGGTGGCTTTTAGTCAGGTGCCTTCTGCTCTGTTTCTCTCTTCCCAGGGTGGCTACGATGCTGGCTTCCTGTATCACTGTGAGTTCCCTCCATACCAAGAAGGCCGTCCTTTTGAAGAACAGAAGGATGAACCTTTTGATTTCCGATATATTGAGGATGCAGAGGAAAATCCCATCCAGGCTGTCACATTCAGGTGAACAGAATTTAAAAAAGCCTTGGGTTGACTTTTTGTTTTGTTTTTTTAAACTTGTTAGTATGTAACTTTTTGTCAGACATGACCGATGACTGAGTCTGTTTGATCCAAAGGGAGGCCTTCTCACAGAGTGTTGGGTTAGATAGTTGAATAAATAAAATCAAAACCAATCCTGAAAATATATTGTGATCACGTACTTAAAACAAAATTCTGTCAGATTTTCTGTTTCTTGTACAACACAATTTTTTAAATTTGCCTTATTTGAGAGGGTGTTACTGATAGGTAGAGAAGGAAGGTTTGAAGTTAAAATAATTCTGGAGAAACCTCAGGTTGATTTATGGTTGTTGTTAAGTGCCATCAAGTTGACTGCAGTTCATAGCGATCCTCTGGACAACAGTTCAGAACTCTGCCCTACCCTGCACCATTCCCACTGTGTCTGACATGCTCAAGCCCATTGTTACAATTATTGTTGCTGTTTTGTGATGTCAAGTTGGGATCAACTCATAGCTGACCCTCCAACCAGATTTTCAGAGACTCTATATTGCATGGGAGGAGATTGTTCATCTTTCTCCTATGGTGAAGCGGGTGGATTTGGATTACATGCATTTGTGCTATCAGTGCAACCTCTTACCCACTAGGGCACCAGAGCTCTCTATATAATTTATTGTTGTTTTTAAATGCCATTGAGTTGACTATGACTCATACTGACCTCATGAACAATAGATCTGAATGTTGTCCTATTCTGTACCACCCTTATCATCCCTGATACATTGGAGTCCATTGCCACAGATACTGCGGCAATTCATCTCATTGAGAGTGTTCTCTTCTTCACTGACCCTCTGCCTGATGTCCCTTGCCAAGGAATACCCACTCTTGAAAATACATTCAAAATATATGAGATGAAGCTTTATTAACTTTGCCTCCAAGAAACATTCTGATTGCACTTTTTCCAATATATAGCTGTTTGTTCTTTTAGCTGTCCATGGAGTATTCATCACTCTTTTCAAATACCACAACTAAAACACATCTGTTTTGTTTTTTTCTATCACATATAGCAGGTGTTAGAAAAACTGTGGGCTAAATCAGGCACACCATAGTATTTAGGCTTACATCATTGCTCTTCAGAACTTTGAAAAGATCCGTAACAGCAAACTTTCCCAATGCTAGACATCTCCTGATCTCTTTACTGCTATTATGAAGCGTGTTGACCATGGATTCAAGCAAGAAGAAATCACTGACAATTTCAATCTTTTCTCAGTTTATCTTGATGTTGCCTATAGGGCCAGGATATAGAGATGTCTTGACTTAGAGATGTAATCCATTATTTAAGGTTGCAGTCCTTGATCCTCTGCAGCAATTGCTTCCTATCCTCCTCACTTTCAACAAGCAAGATTATGTCATCTGCATAATGCAGGTTGTTGATGAGTCTTCCTCCAATCCTAACACCACATTCCTGCATATAAATTCCAGCTTCTGGAATAATTTGATCTGCATACCGATTGATTGGGTTTGGATAGAAAAGATAGCCTTACTACACACCTTTCCTAACTAAAACCATGAAGAATTTCCTTTCTCTGTGTGAACAACAACTTCTTGGTTTAGGTAAGGATTTCATTCAACCACAATTAAGTGTTCTGGAGTTCCCATTTTTCTTAAGGTGAATCATTGTTTGTTATGATCCACACAGTCAAAAATCTTTTACATAGTCAATAAAACATAAGTAGATATTCTGTTTGATAGTCTTTATGTCTATCTGTAGACAAGATTTACAGCCAAGATCCATCTAACTCCATGAGCAGTGGTATCCCTGCCGCCATGGCCTTTCCTAAACCCAGCTTGAACTTCTGGCAGTTCTCTAGCAATATGCAGTTTGAATTGTTCTTAAATTATCTTCATTTTGTTTTGTTTGTATGTGATATTGGTGATATTTTTAGATAATGTCAACATTCTTTTGGACCACCTTTCTTGAGAATGGGAACAAATATAAATCTATTCCAGTCAGTTGCCCAGGTAACTGTCTTCCAAATTTCCACACACAGGTTGGTGAGCACATCCAGTTCTGCATCTGTTATTGGGAACATGTCAGTTAGTATCCTGCCAATTCTTGGAGCCTTATTTTTAGCCATCACCTTCAGTGAAGCTTGAAGTTTTTCCTTCTTCACTATTGGCTTTTGATCATATGCTACTTCCTGAAATATTTCAGTACCAATCCGTCCTTTTGTACAGTGATTCCATGTAGTCCTTCCACCTTCATTTGATGCTTCCTGTATTGTTTACATTTCCCCCCAAAGCATCTCTCAGTATTGCAATTGAATTTGTTTTGAAGTGGTTTCGGTTTGAGAAATGCCAAAACGAGTTCATTTTTTATTCTCCAAATCTAGCTCTTTGCAAAATCCATTATAATACTTTGTTTTGTCGTCTTCTGCCCTTTAAATTTTATGGTCATTTATTTCAATATCTCTTCTTTTTGTTTTGGCTTCTTGACACTCTAGTGCAATTTTCAGAGTCTCTACTGTCATCCATTTTGGGCCTTTTCTTTCTCTTCTGTCTTTGTAATGATTTTTTGCTCTCTTCATGAATGATACCTTTAATGTCATCCCACACTTCAACCAGTCTTCGCTCTTTACTGTTTAATGCCTCAAACCTGTTCTTGAGATTATTTTAAAATTAATTAGTCCTTTTAAATTGAGAATTGAACATATATGTGCAACCATTTCTGAAAACTAGATATAATATCTCCAAATCTTAAATTGCCTTATTTTTCTTTACTCTGAGAGGAGGGGGAGGAAGATACCCAAGATTCAAACATACTTTTTTATTTTTGTTGTTGTTATGTGCCATTGAGTCAATTGAGGCTCATAGAAACCCTGTGTACAACAGCTCTGAACCCTGCTCTGTCCTGAGCCAGCTGTACAGTCTCTGGCACACCTACCACCATTACCCCAGTCCCTGAATCAGTCTGTCTCATCCAGAGCCTTCCTCTCTTGCTCTGTCCCTATACCCTCCCAAGCATGATGTCCCTCCCCAAGGACAGGTCCCTCCTTGCTACATACACAAATAAAGATTCTTTTATTAAGACATAAAGACAAGACACAGGTAACTTGATTAAGAAATGATAGAGGTAACATCACAGCAAAACCAGATAAAATTAAATTGATAATATTGGAATATTATGAAAAGCTATATGCTGATAAATTAAAAAATCTAGAGGAAATGGAAAAATTCCTTTAAACTCATGCCCTACCTAAATTGACCAGGATAGATATAGAACACTTGAACAGACCTATCACAAAAGAAGAAATTGAACAGGTCATAAAAAGACTTCTCCGTAAGAAAGGTCCTGAACCCGATGCCTTCACAGCTAAATTCTACCCAACATTCAGAGAGTATCTATCACCAATTCTACTTTTAAAAAAAATTACAAAAAAATTGAAAAAGAAGGGACACTTATAGAGTCATTTTTTTCAAGCGAACATAACCCTATACCAAAACCAGGCAAAGATATAACCAGGAAAGAGAACTACAGACCAATATCTCTCATGAATATATATGCAAAAGTCCGTAACAAAATCCTAGCAATAGAATACAAAACATATCAAAGAAATAACTCATCGTGACAGAGTGGGATTCATAACATGTATTCAAGGATGTTTCAACATAAGAAAGGCATAAATACAGATAGACAGTTCTTACCTTCATGAGGGGAAACCATCAGCATGGTGTCAGAGTTGTTCCACTGATTCATGGCACAGCTTTTATTGATTGGATTAGCGCTCTGTTGCAGGTGGGACTACTAAAGCAGACAAAAGACCGTGATTGGGATAGAGACACAATTTCAAATGTAAAGGCTTACAGGGTTGGTTCTGAAGTTCCCTCCACCTGGCTGTGTAGTTGCCCAGAGCTATGACTTATGAGAATGATTAAAGACACATCCATGTAGATTGTGTGGCTCTCCATAAAAGTGTCAAGGCTTAATGCTCCGGTGAGTTAATGGGTAACATATTGGACTATCCACAAAAGGGTGAGACGTTCAAATCTATGGGAGAAAGATGGCCTATCTTCTACAGATTGGTGGCCTTGGAAACCAAATGGAGGATCATCATGAATTAAAAAGAAACTATACTGTTGTGGTGTTTGATTTTCATTTAGGCTCATCTGGGCGTAGTGATTTGTTTTGGTTTTTTGTTATCTGTTTTAAACTATACTTTCCTGAGGGCCCAGGTTCATGGCTGCTCTGCTGTTAAGAAAGAAGTCAAATGACACCTCAGCCTGTGTTAACAATTTGGATGAAGTTAGGGCTCTAAGAGAGAACTGTTTTCTATAAGCCGAGTGCTTCTAATACACCCTCAATGCCTATTAAAAGTTTTGTCCTTCCTCAGTCAATTTTAAAGTAAAACTCACTTTCAGAGTCATGTGAGTAACAATTTACTTTCTTAATTTCACAGCCTTAATAGAACTATGATGTTTTGTGGAATGGGTGATGGATCCATTCGTGTCTATATCCTAAGTAAGAGTGATTTTTCATTGGCCAAAATGGAGGAATACTGGCACTTCAACATGCATGACAATAATTATGGACGTATTAAAAGCATCTCTACTAGCTTTGATGACCGCTTCTTAGTGACTGCTGGAACAGATAGTAATATCTTTGTTTTCAAAATTTATTCTGAATTAGCATTAGAGAAAGACCTCACAGCTAAAGTACCCTTGCCCATGGTATGTACCTAAGTGACTAATGATAACAAAAATTAAAGCTTTCTTTTAAAATAGCTATATTAAGATTTATTATTATTATTATTATTATTTTATATTGGTTTGCTTACAAAATTCATGTACTCTGTGTTTCACATTATTGTTCATTCACATTGTGTTCTATACAATTATTCCCAACTTCTGGATACACTCATCTTATAGGCTAATCTTCTTATTGGTGTTAGTTTTGACTTTCTGATGCTTCCATATTTAAAATTAGGAGGCTCTCATGGCTTAGTGGCAAGGAGTTGCACTGCCAACCCAAAGACACACTGTTCAAATCCACCAGCTTCTCTGCAAAGAAAAAATGGGCAGTTTCCTGTATAATTTACTACCTCTGAAAATCTGCTAGAAGGGCAGCTATAAGTCTATTCCAGCTCAAAGATACATAACAACAACAACATACAGAATATTAAGGATGCTGAATTCCCCTTAAGGTTGTAGAACACCCCCAAATTTTAAAAAGGACTATAATAGTTTTTCTGTGTGAATCACATTCTTGTATATTTCTGGGTAAATCAGCTTCTGGTTTTCAAAATGCGTATTTTTTTTCCCTCAGGTATACGTTTTACTCTTCTTTATCTATTCACTGAGGGAACATGAGAAGAATGTATGCCTTGTTATTCTTTTGAAAGGGATTGTAAGAGTATTAATGCCTTTAGTATCAGAGTATGACCATATGAGTAAAGAGCCAGTGTACATTATTATTCTGTTGTTGGGCTGATAAGTTTATAAACTTTGTGATAAGCACTGATGGTTCAAATCCCAAAGGCATAGCTTTTGCCTTGTAGGATTTGTGCTATTGGCAGCCCATGAAGTGTTCAGTACTCTTCTCCAATACCACACTTGGAAGGCATCAATTCTTCTCACTTACTCGTTGTCCAACTTTTAAGTTGCATAAGAAACAATTAAAATTACCACGGGTTGGATCAGGCACACCTTTGTCTTCAAACTGACAGTCTTGCTCTTTAGCAATTTTTTTTTTTAAATTCCTCAAAGACTTACCCAATGCAGTATGTCTTTTGGTTTCTTGACTGTTGCTGCCGGGGGTGTTGTCATATCTAAGTGAAACCACACTATTGACAAATTGATTTTTTTCTCCATCTGTCATGATGTTGCCTATTGATCCAGTGGTGAAGATTTTTGTTTTCTTGATATTAAGATGTAATCTATGTTGGAGGCTGTTGTCTTTAATCTTCCTTAGTAAGTGCTTCAAGTCTTTCTCACTTTCTGCAACTGCAGTTGTGTCATCTACATAATGTAACTTGCTGATGAGTCTTCTTTCAATCGTGATGCCACATTGATGTAGTCCAGTTTCTTGAATGATTTGCTAAGCACAGATTGATTATAATAGGTAAGGAAAAAGGAAACAACCTTGATGCATGTCTTTCCTGATTTTAAACCATGCATTATTCCCTTGTTCTGCTCAGACAGCTACTTCTTGGTCTATGTGTAAGTGTCCAGAGATTCCCTTTTTCTCTCAGATTTATCCATAATTTGTTATGATTCCCATTATCAAATACTTTTGTATAATCAAAACCCCACAAATAATTATCTTTCTTTTATTCTGTGGTTCAACACCAGCAATGATAAAGTAAATTTAAAAACCTTGAATTCCAAAAAATATGTAGAGTTGCATATGATGCATAATAAGACCATTGTTGTGTAGCATCCAGTTGGACCTAAACCAGGGCTGACCCTCTAGCAAGTTTTCTGAATAAGAAATCCCATGAGAGGAGAGTGCTGAACTTTCTCCCCTAGGGCAAATTTGAATTGCATAACTTTCTGTTGGTGAATTTGAACTGTGTGGCTTTGGGTTGGCAGTGCAGCTTCTTACCACTAGACACCAGAGTTCTGTCACATTCATCCCAAGAGCTCAAACCAAGTCAGAGCTGAAAGATTGGTTTCTGAAAAGCAATAAATTACACAGGAGGTGATTGCCCAACTGTATCCTGGGGAGCTGCTGGTAGATTTGAACCACCAGAGAGGTTCAACCTTTGGATTAGCTGTGCAACTTCCTAGAAGCTGCACCACCCTCACTTTATGGTGAGTGACAGCAAAACAAAAATCTGTGTGTTAGGAAAGAGAAGAGTTCTCTTTTATGTGATGATTAGTTATCAAATTAAGAACCTAGTTTAGTTTCCTGGTTATCATTCTTCTTAAACAGCACAGATTAAGATACTTCATAGTATACTATTTAAATATGTTAAAAATATTTTTTTTAGTTTTTAAAAAATGTTTTATTTTACATTGGTTTACTTAAGTTCATATTCATTGTGTTTTATGCTATCCTTCATTCACATTGCGTTTCATACAATCACTCCCATTCCTTAAGTTTTATAAAATTAATCACCATTGAACTATGCATCCCATTACCCTCTATTTCCAGATTTCCCCCCAGATCATTCCAATATCTTTTACTCCTCCTCCTTCCACCCACCAAACTGTGCCTCCCTATGACTTCCCCCTGTTCATCCTCATTCCTCTGCTCTCAGTCCTTCCCCCCCTTGGGTCCCCATATATGTTTTACTAGTTATCCTTCTGTGTTTCAATAATGGTCTTATGCAGTATTCGTTCACTCTGCATAATGCCCTTTAGTCTCTCCCAAGTTATACAGTAACTGTCCAAATTGTTGTTCCTGAGTGCTGTGTAGTATTTCATTGTGTGACTGTGCTACAATTTCTCAATCCATTGCCTTGTAGTTGGGACTTTTGAATATGCAAAATATTTTTAAGTGTTTTACTTTGTTATTGTTTTTATTTGCTGTTCACTTCATTCTGACTCATGGTGACCCCATATGTGCAGAGTAGAACTGTGCCACGTACATTTCAAAGCTGTGACCTTTATGAAACAGACATCCAGGCCTGTCTTCTGAGGCACTTTTGGGTAGGTTCAAGCCACCAACAGTTTTATTAATTGTGGAGCACTTAATCTTTTTCATCAGCTAGGGCTGCAACATACAATTAAAATTTAAAGGAGTTTTTTTTGTTTGTGTGGGTTTGTTTTTTTCGTTGTGTGTGTGTGTGCTTCCACATTTAAACGAAACAAAACAAATAAGTTCAATTCACTACTGGTTGGTTTGTTTTCTACTTTGTTTTTTTGTGAAAATATGTCAGATTTTCAATGGTTAATTTTTTTTAATTGAAATTTACCTCGTAGTTGGTATGTTAAGGGAAACATTCTATTTAAGAGGGCTAATTTTTTTTTCTTAACTTTCAACAGTTTGGAATTGAAACAGAAGTAATTCCTCAAGACATTGAAGATCTTTCTGCTTACAGGTATTGGCATTTTTTTAAAAAAACAAAACAAAACAGAAAACACTGACTAAGGCTGAGTTTTGCAAACCAGCATTTTACAGATGTTGACCAAAGCAAAATGAATTTCCATATTATTGAATGATAATTTTCTCTTATGTAGTTTCTGTTTCTTAACCTTTTAGATCCTTTTAAATGTCTGTTTTCAGTATTGAGAATGCCAGAAAGAAAAGAGAACATGACAAGTTAATGAAGGAAGTGGAGGAAGAAAAGGCTGCAAAGCGGGAAAAGCTCAGAGGTCTCAGGAATGAGTTTTTGAAACTACTAGAGATGAATGAAGAACTACCAAAGCATATGCAACTTAAGAGGACAGTAAGTGTCCATACAGTTCACTTTAATACTCACATAAAAATATTTCTGAGTCAAGGTTACTATATTTCCTACAGGTAGATACTTTTAAAAGAATTTTTAAACTTCTCTTTATCTCGTCAATGTGTCTTTAGTGATTAAGCCATGGAGAACTCGTCACACATCATGGCTTGAGATACAGATGAGACTCTTTATGAAAGTTTACTTCTTGGGTTTAGGTACTGCGCCTTTTTGCAAGGAGAGTAGAGAATCAAATATAAATCACTGTCTACCCATAAATCCATTCCTGGATGTTCAAGATGCAGGTATTCTTTGTGGTATAGGTTTGAAACTAGTTATTAATCCTTGTTGTACCTAGTCAAACTATCTGTTGTGTGGGTATGTGTATAATTTGATTCTTTTTAAAAATTATGATTTTAAACAAAAGTTTACACAAGGCTAGACTCTCATTCATTCATTGTTGTACATTTTCCTCCTTCTCCCTCCTGCACTCCACTTTGTAATGCACCTCTTGTTCCAAATTGTAAATTGGCATACATGTAATGCATAATCACACATTCCTTTCAGATAGTCCCGTTTCTATAATTGATGAATGCCTATTTTTCTTTCACTGACTTTGCAAAGATATTTGACTGTGTAGATCACAACGAATTATGGGTAACCCTGGGAAGAATGGGAATCTGAGGACTGTTGATTGTGCTTATATGCACCCTGTGCTTAGACCAGGAAGAGTCTTCAGAACAAAACAAGGAAATGCTGCATGATTCAAAATAAAGAAAGGAAGGCACTGGGGATACATCCTTTCGCCATACCTTTTCCATCTATCTGTGGAATAGATTATGGCACCCGGATCAGAGGAAGACTCATCAGCATTCTGTGTTATGCAGATGACACAACCTTGCTTGCTGAAACTGAGGAGGACCTGAAGCATTTGCTGCAGAAACTCAAGGACTGCCTTTGATATGGATTAAAGGTCAACACCAAGAAGACAAAGATTCTCACCACTGGGCCAATTGGCAGCACCATGATAGATGGAGAAGAGATTGAGGTTGTTTCAAGCTTTACTCCACAATCAACACTATAGGCACCAGCAGTCAGGAAATCAAAAGATGAATTGCACTGGGGAAGAGTACTGTCAGGGGGCCTCTCCAAAGTGCTAAAGAGCAACAGTGTCAGCCTAGAGAGACTAAAGTGTGCTTGATTGAGGCCATGGTGTTTGCAATTACTTGCTATGCATCAGAGAGCTAGACAAGGACTAAAGATAACAGAAGAAGAATTAATGTATTTGCGTTGTGGTGCTGGAGAAGAGTATTGTACATACTCTTAACTGCCGAGAGGACAAATGGATCTGCCCTGGAGAGAGTGAAACCAAGTTGCTCCTTGGAGGCAAGGATTTTGATGCTCCATCTGACATACTTTGGGCATGGTGTCAGGAGGGATGAGACTTTGGAAAAGGACAACCTGCTAGGGAGGATGGAGGGACAGAGTAGAAAAAGAAGACCTTCTTGACACAGTAACTGTGGTAGTAGGGGTAGGTATGTTGGAAACTGTCGGACTGTCTTAAGATAGAACAGGGTTTAGAGGCTTCTGTGAGTTTCAGTCGACCCTGGTGGTGAATCCCCCTGCTTGCCCAAAGGCAGCTCCCCTCTACCTGTTTGAATCCACCAGCAGCTTTGAGGGAGGAAAATGAGCAGTATCCACCCATGTGATATACAGTCTCAGAAAACCCATTAGAGGGCCAGCTATGAGTTGAGTCTGGGTCATTAGTGATGAGAGAGAGATTTAGAGGATAGTGCCTGATTTACAAAGTTTTTAAAAGCAATTGCTGCAGAGGATCAAGAACTATAGTTTGCAATATGGATTGAAGCTCAGCATCAAAAAAAGAAGATTCGCACAGAGACTTGTACACCAATGTTCATAGCAGTGTTATTCACCACAGCAAGAACATGGAAACAGCCCAAATGCCCAACCACAATGGAATGGATTGAGACATTATGGTACATTCACATAAATACTCTTCAGTACTCAGGAGCAGTGATTTTGTAAATTGCCACCTAACATGGAAGGGACTGCAGAGCATTATGCTGAGTGAACTAACTCAGTCTCATCAGGACAGATACTGTATAAGACAATTATTGTAGAACAAGTATGAGGATCCGGGGAGGAGGGCCCTTAATCATAGGGTTGCACAGTTTGATGGGTGGAGGGAGGGATGGGTAAAGGAAAGGGGAAAGATCCAGTGTGAAAAACAATATATATGAACTTTATGAACTTTGTATGTAAACCAGTTGTTGTTGTTAAGTGCCGTGGAGTCGCAGGCAACTCATAGCGACCCTATGAAGGAGAGTCCTCGATGCTTGGGTGCCTTTCATCCTCTCTCCAGGTTCATAGGGTTTCCAGAGGCAAGCTATTATGGAAGTGGATGCCACTCCTCCTTCCAAGCTTGTTTCAATCAGGGAGCTCCACCCCACTCTCTGTCCGCATTGGGTAGCCAACCATTAACACATTTGACACATCAGTGTCACAGTGTTCAGCCTCACAGCAACCACAAGTGTCCGCTGGATGGCAACTTGTACACCAGGGCTATATGACCTAGAGGAATGTCTGAACAAAAATAATGAAAGACAGGCCCAAGGGCCACGGATTAAAAGTCAACCACCTTTGGCTTAGTAGCATCGCTTTCTGTCCACTGGGCCAGCTGATCTCTCTCTCGAAGTTGATATTATTTTTGTTTAGTGCCGTCAAGTCACAGGCGACTCATAGCAACCCTATGAAGGAGAGTCCTTGACGCTTAGGTACCTTTCATCCTCTCTCCAGGTTCATAGGGTTTCCAGAGGCAAGCTATTATGGAAGTAGATGCCACTCCTCCCTCCAAGCTTGTATAAACCAGTATAAAAACAAAATAAAAAACATTTAAAAAAAAACCAAAGGAAGATTCTCACCACTGGGGCAATTGGCAGCCTCATGATAGATGAAGAAGAGAGTGAGATTGTTAGCTTCCTTGGTTCCATGATCAACACTCTTGGCACCAGCAGTCAAGATGTCAAAAGACAAATTGCATTAGGAAAATCTGCTGTCAGGGACCTCTCCAGAGTTATGAAGAGCAAGGATGTCAGTCCAGAGACGAAGATTTCCCTGATCCAGGCCATGGTCTTTGCAATTACTTGCTATATAACATCAGAGAGCTGAGATGACAGCTTGTCAAAGATGACAGAATCGATGCCTTTGCATTGTGCTGGAGATTTTTAACATATTATGGACTGCCAAGAAAACTAACAGGGTTAAACCTAGAGAGGATGAAACAAAACTTCTCCTTGGAGGCAAGGATTTTGAGAATCCTTCTCACATACTTTGAGCATGTAGCCAGGAGGGACCAGTTGTTGGAGAAGGATATCATGCTTGGAAATGTCAAGGAGCAGTGCAAAAAAGGAAGATACCAGATGAGAGGGATTGACACAATAATTGGGGTACTAAGGGTAGGTGTGTCAGAGATAGTGAGAATGGCTTAGGATAGAGCAGGGTTCAGCGCTAATATGAAAAGTGTCTTGGGCAGAGGAGGTGGGCAGGGAGAAAAGTGCAACAATGAATGACTGGAAATCCTAAGTCTCTGTAAACTTTCATTAAAGTTAATAAATTTTTAAAAAATGCAAAAAAAAGAAGTGTCGCTATGAATCATAGTTGACTCAATAACACAACAACAACAACAACAACAATTTTTAGTAATATTTTACTTTTGTAACTTATGGAGAAGCCCAACATCTTTGTCTACTTAATTTTGCCCCATTTTGTGTTTCTTCCTAAATGGAATTACAGTTAAGAGTCTAATCAAATAAAAATTGATACTTTATTGTCCTACATATTCCCTGGACTGACCAGTCCTGTAATTCTAGAAGCACATGACCAATTTAATGTGAAAAATGCCCTGGTTGGAAGATATTTATGCTATTTTTCTAAGAAAAAGCATACCACTTTCAGAGTATGGATGAAATGATTTAAAGTAATTGAGGCAAACTTATAGGCTGAGCATTTTAGGCATACCATTACTTAAAATAGACTTACTGCTGAGAAGAATAATTGCTAACAATCCAGTGTGAATGAAGTCTCTGATATTTTTACAGGGTTTAGGGTAAGGAACATGAAGTCACTAAGTATCTCTGTAGAGGAAAGCTAACTCCTTGGTGAATGATGTTCAACTAGACTTTTGTGATAACAAGAAGATTCCAAAGCCTCTCTTGGGTGGGGTCTTCTGGGAGGGGATCTTCAGCTCAATTATCAACTACTTGAACTTCCACTCTGGCCCAGTAGGTTATGTAATCGTAGTTGCTTTAGTGTAGTAAAATTTTTTAATTTTAACTTTTTATACTCTCCAATTACTCTATCAACACTCTTTTTCTTTTGGAAAATCTCTTATTATGTGACTTTAATTGCATTATTATTAATTGTTTTTCAGAACTTGTGGAAGTAAGCATGTTCATTCTTTTCTAGAATGGGAAGAGTAATATTTGGGAGTTATGATTCACCATAAAATTAAGGATAAAATAAAAATCTTTATCTACATATGAAACAAAGTCTACATTGCCCAACAAAGTCTAAAGGGTCCATTTTTATGAGTAAATCTTTGACTTTTTCTGCAGGACTTTAATCTAGATTCCAAAATTCGAGTTGAGATTAACCGGAAAACAGCTTACAAAATTCAGCAAACAGAAAAAGAATTAGCTTGGGAAAAAGAGAAGTGTAATCTTGGCCTAATGAAGATACAGAAAAGGTAGGAAAGATCTGTACTTCCTGTAAGCTACACTGTTTGAAGACATATTTGAAGAAAGCAGAGAGAGTCCAGAGAGAAGTGAAATAAAATGTATCCTGAAAGGCATGCTGTTTGACTGCACCAGCTGCTGTGCTGGACAAAGATGGACAGTCTCCTCCCGTGCTATTTATTTACTGCTTCTGAAAACCCACTGGAGGCTCAACAATGGGTTGATTTTGACTCAAAGGCAATGGGTTGAGTTGCACCCACTGGCTCTTGAAATCTCCAGAAACACCCTGACTGCTGCTGCTGGCGTCCTCTTGTGCTTCATGCTCCTTCCATTTTTTAAAAGAAATTTTATTATAATTAATTTTAATGAAAATTTACAGAGATTTTGGATTTCCATTCATTCATTGTTGCACTTTTCTCCCTGCCCACCCCTCCCCTCCAGTTCGTTCGTTCTCTCTGAAAAGTAAAAGAAAAATCTTTCATTGTTATACAATCCCTCCCCCCAAGACCACTCCACTATGCAGCCTTCATTGTGGACTCCTGTCATGACAATATACCCAATCATATATCCCTTTTAAACAGCTCTCTCTCTTCTGTTTTAATGCAGTATACTTAGTTTATCCTATGATTTTCAGTCTCCCCCCAACCCTGATATCAGTCCCGTTTTACAACAGTGGCGCTATGCAGTATTTGTCTTTTAGTGTCTGAGATAGTTCACTAAGCATAATGTCCTCCAGGGTCATCCGTTTTGAATAATATTGCATGAGTTCCTTGTTTTTCAATGCAGCATAGTATTCCATCGTGTGAATATACCACAGCTTCTCTATCCATTCGTTTGTTGATGGGCACTTAGTTTGTGTCCCACTCTTTGCTATTGTGAACAAAGCCGCAATAAACATGGATTGGGTGTCAGTTATGGTTTCTTTGGGGTATATTCCAAATAGTGGAATTGCTGTGTCAAATGGTATTTCTATTTCCAACTTTTTGAGAAAGTGCCATACTGCCTTCCATAGTGGCTGCACCATTTTACACTCCTACTAACAGTGAATAAGGTTTCCAGTTTCTCCACAACTTTGCCAGAATTAGTTGTTTGCTGTTCTATTTTGCTATTCTTACTTGGGTGAGATGATATTTCATAGTTGCTTTGATTTGCATCTCTCTTAGAGCTAGGGATTTTGAACATTTCTTCATGTGTTTGTTCACCATCTGAATGTCTTCTTTGGTGAAGTGTCTGTTCATATCCTGTGCCCATTTTCAATTGGGTTGTTTACCTTTATCTTGTTTTTGTGCTTGAGTACTTTATATAAGTTCTAGATAGAAATCCCTTATCTGACATGTAATTACCAAATACCTTTTCCCAGTCTGTGGCTTCCATTTTTAATATTTTGGAGAAGTTTCTGGATGTGCATAGGGATTTGAGTCATCTATTCATCCATTCATCCATTTTATCCTTTCCTGGTTGGAGATTCATACTCTTTCCTTGTATAAATCTAGGAAATGTGTATCGCTATTAACTTTTTGTACATACCAAGTTATAAAATACATACTTATTCCCAGTTTTGGTAAATTATTTATTTTGTGTCACATGAATACATAGTCACAGATATATAAAAAAAAATGAAATGTGTAATAGAGCCAAAGAGCATATAATAGAATAAAAGAGAACAGCTTCCTGTCCTGTCACTCTCCAGCACCAATAGGAAGGTATCTTCCAAGAGGAAAATACCTTCTTTTAAAAAATTTCCCCCGATATAATTCCCATGTCAGGGGGCCCTGGTGGCCTAGTAATAAGGAGTTCTACTGCCAACCTGAAGCCATATGGTTCGAATCCTGCTCTGTGGGAGAAAGATGAACAGTCCCCTCCTATGTGATTACCTGTATCCGAAAACCTGCTGGCTGGTTAGTTATGAGTTGATTTTAACTTGACAGTACATAACAACAAACATAACAATATTGTAATGAACCCAGCTGCCACTGCATGGTAATGATAGAAAGAATACTGCCCATATACAGCATATATGTGTACAACATGCTATATTATATATTTGTAAGTTTTGCCTAAGATACCATAACAAGATTATTTAAAAGATTAATTATATTGTACTTTTATTACGTAGAAGTAATCTGAAGATTTAAATGATAAACATTGCACATATTTTCTTTTTTTGCAGATTTCGTGATTCATTGGAAAGTGACGCTGTTGTGGTCCATGCCATACAAACTAGCCACAAGATAGCCTCCTATAGGCTTGTGAAGCCCTCTAAGTATTTCAAGTCCAAACGGTCAAGCCAGTCAGAAAGACGACCTAGCAAACTAGAGAGGCTTGAAAAAGAGGGAGCTGGACAAAGGGATAGCCAGAAAGATACAGGTAACCTAGATAATACCTGTTACTTACTGCTGTCAAATGGATTCCAACTCCTAGCAACCTGTGTAGGACAGACTAGAACTGCACCTTACAGCTGCCCAGGCTGCAGGTCTTTACAGGTGCAGACTTCCTCATCTTTCCTCCACAGAGCGGCTGGTGGGTTCAAGATGCCAACCTTTTGGTTAATAGCCAAGCGCTTAACCCCTGTGCCACCAGAGCTCCTTAGCCTAAATGCTTATTTAACTTTTCTTATACATATGTACTCATTCCTTACTTACCAGCATGGTTGGGTTCCAAAAACCATGTTGTTACGTGAAAATGATTAGTCCAAGGCTGACTCATATTAGGATTTCAGAACTGACTTGTCTTTTGTTGTGTTAAGAACCTCTGAGTTATCTTTGGTAGTTTGAGCTCAAGCACTTATCCTCCTTCCTTCCATGTTGGTCATCTTTGGAAAAAATCAAGAGAGAAAGGGTCTGAGGAATTACTGGGAATGAGAGGTTGTGTTTCCCCAGCAAACACTCCATGATAGCTGTGTTTCTTTGATACACTGTTGAAGAAAACCTACCCAGGTCTTGAGAGTGAATGTAGGGGGAATATCAAATGCTGCTATTTCTTACTTCCCTCTTCCAACCTATCCTTAATTTGTTTATTTCCCAGATAATAGTTTCTTGCCACTATTTCTTCCCAGTTTCCCAGGCCCCACTCCAGATGAGGGGCTAGAACAGTTCATTTCAAACTGTTTACCAAGAGCATGTGCCTTAAAAAGAATGAAGGACCCAAGAATAATCCAAGGCAAACCAAATCCACTTCGTAGAGTGAATTCTGATTCATGTTGTTATTAGGTGCTATCGAGTCATCTATGAATAATAGACTGAAGGCCTGCCGTGTCCTCTGCCATCATCATCATCATCATCTCTGCCATGCTCTACCCCCTTTTTTTGCAGTCACTTTGTCTTGTTGAGTGTCTGTCTTCCTTTTTATTGCTTGCTTCTACTTTTTATCATATATTGTCAAGTTCATAATGATCCTATAAAACATGGCAGAACTTCTCCACAGGGTTGGGGTTTTTTTCTCCCCACAGGGTTTTTAAGGCTAAATCTTTGCGGAAGGAGACTGCCTTATTTTTCTCTCATAGAATCGCTGATGGGTTCAAATGGCTAACCTTTCATTTCACAGCTGAGCACTTGAACTGCTATGCACTCAGAGCTGAGTGTACTAGGATGAAAATAGGATCTCTAATACCCTTAAGGCAGGAGAAGGATGGACAGTCTCCTTCCGTGCAATTCACTGCCTCTGAGGACGCACTGGAGGGTCAGCTATGGGTAGGTTCCAACTTGATGGCACACAATAACACTCCCCTTAGTACTGCCTACTGGGTGACTGGAGATGAATAGGAGAAGAATAAGAATTCTGGAAATGGTTTAGAAGGTTCAGTAAAGAATAAAGGGTCTTGTAGCCAGTGTACTGATCAAGTCTAAGCTGATAGCTATGTTAACTCCAGTTCATCTTCTTTGTTAAAGAGACATTTTTAGGGAATGAATTTTTAAGCCATTTTCACAACAGTAAAGCTTTCCACAATCTGTCCCTCATGTATACCAACAATATTGGCTACTTACAGTATAGGACATGAATATTTTAGGCTCTGATCCTCTTTGCTGCTTCCTAATTATGCCTAATATTTCCACATCCAGAGCTCTGCGGGCCTAGTGATAAGAAGCTGCGCTGTAATCCCAAAACACGCAGTTTGAATCCTTGAGCTGCTCCAAGGGAGAAGGATAAACTAATCCCCTCTCGTGCTATTTATAGGCTCTGAAAACGCTCTGGAGGGTCAGCTACGGGTCATTTCCAACTTGATGACACACAGCAACTACCTCCACACCAGGCTTCTACTGTAATGATCACTTCATTCACCCCTTTCCTTTCCTTTCTGAATGCTACTTGTTCTTAGTGACCTAGCTCAAGCTTTGTTATGAAGCATTCCCTAATCACTGTGGTCAAATTAAACTTTTCCTTTTCTATGTCAGTGTATATTTTATAAGTATAGTTTTGAAGCAGGAATGGCATCCACTTTGTAAACAACATGCCTCTGGAAACTCTATGAACTTTAAGAAATGATGGTAGTTAAAGCATTCATGTCTCTTGTTCATAGGGTCGCTATGAGTTGTGCTTGATTCAACAGCAATAAACAACAACAATAACATCCTGTAATATATTTACTCATGTCAGGAAATCAAAAGACAAATTGCATTAGGTATATCTGTTGTCAGGGACTTCTCAAGAGTGCTGAGAAGCATTAAGGTGCACCTCATCCAGGCCATGGTCTTCCCAGTTACCTGCTATGCATCAGAGAGCTGGACAGTGATTAAGGATGGCAGAAGAAAAATTGATGCCTTTGAGTTGTAGTGCTGAAGAAGAATCTTGAACATAGTGTGGACCACCAAGAAAGAAAATAGGTCTGTCTTGGAGGGTGAAACCAAGTTTCTCCTCAGAGGCTAGGATTTTGAAGCTCTGTCTCAAATATTTTGGGCCAGGAGGGACTAATCTTTGTAGAAGGACAACCTGCCCAGACGGGTGGAGAGACAGCACAGGAGAGGAAGACCCTGGGTGAAATGGATTGACACTGTAACTAGGGCAATGAGGGCAGGTATGTCAGAGTGAGTGAGACTGGCTCAGGACAAGGCAGGCTTCAGAGCTGTTGTCCATATAGTCACTAGGAAGCTCAGGTGACTCAACAGCACATAACAACAACATGGATAAGTTCAAATTGAGGCCGAAGAAAATTAAAACAAGTCCATATGATCCAAAATATGAATTTGAGTATATCCTACCTGAATTAAAGAAAGTTATGCTACCAAGCCCAAGATGGGTGATTTTAATTGTGACCCTCAGGCTTGGTTTAAATTGGTTTTTTTGTCAAACATTCTTCTAAGGTGGTATAGCACTGTTCTGTGCATTACTGTACAGAGGTAACTCGTGATTGCTGTGATGCTAAACACTGTGACATTGATGTGCCAAATGTGATAACGGTTACTCATGGTGGACAGTGTTTGGTGGAGCTCCCCAGTTAAAACAAGCTTGGAAGCAGGAGTGGCATCCACTTCTGAAATGTCTTGCCTCTGGAAACTGTATAAACAGTGCTCAGGTCTTTTCATTCTTAGGGTTTCTATGAGTTGTCTACGACTCCACGGCACCTAACAACAACAACAGTAGATAATATTTGAGGCATTGAACACCAGTGGTCAAAGGCCATATGTGTTGTTGGAAAACATCAAGGATATCATCTGTGAAGAGAGCAAAAGGTCATTACAAAGACACAGGAGAAAGTAAAAACCAAAATGGATGTCAGAAGAGACCCTGAAAATTGCACTAGAGCACCGAGAAGCTGAAACAAAGGGAAAAGATGCAGAAGCAAAAGAACTGAAGAGATTACTTCAAAGGACAGTTTATGAAGATAAAGCAAGGTATTATAATGGAATATGCAGAGAGCCGAGGTCAGAGAATAAAAAGGGAAGAACTCGTACAACATTTCTCAATCTGGAAGAACTGGAAACTAAATTCAATCCTTGAATTATATTACATAGAGATTCTATGAGGAAAGTCTTGAATGATCCGAGGAATCATCAAATAAGATGGAGGGGATATACAGAGATGTTGTTGTTAGGAGCCATTGAGTATAACTCATTAGTAATCTATGAACAAAAAATCTGAGGCCAGTTCTGTCCTACAAGTGCCATCCTCACTCTTCCAGACACACAAGAGCCCATTGTAGCAGTCACTGTGTCAGTCCACATGGTTGAGGGCCCTCTTCATCTTCACTGACCCTCCACCCTTCGCAACTTCATGCCACTCTCCAAGGAGTAGCCCCTCCTAGCAATATGCCCAACATTTATGAGGCAAAGTGTCATCATCCTTACCTCCAACGAGCACTCCAGCTACACCATCTCCAAGACATATCTGTTCATTCTCTTGACTGTCCATGGCATGTTCAGTGCTCTTCTCCAACACCATAGCTCAAAGGTGTCAATTCTTTTTCTGTCATTCTTATTCATTGTCTGGGTCTCGGATGCATAGCTTGTAATCAGAAAAGCTATGGCCTGAATCAGATGCACCTTAGTCCTCAAACTGACATAATCTTCAATTATTTGGAAAGGTCCCTAACTGCAGATTTTCCCAGTGCAGTGTGTCTCCTTATTTCCTGATTGCTCTCACCGAGCATGTTAATTGTGGATCCAAGCAAAATGTCATACTGTTACTGTACCAAAATAACTCATTGATATTGAAATATTTCAGAAAGTACCATATGATCCAGAGCCAAAGATAATGGAAAATGCTCAAGCTACACTGAAGGCATTGACAATCAATAAGGCCCCAGGAATCTATGTGATACCAATTAACATGTTTCAAGTAGTAGATGTAGCTCTGGAAATACTCACCAGACTATACTAGAAAATTCTGAAGATAGCTGCCTGGCTGACTAACTGGAGGAAATTCATATTTGTTCCTGTTCCCAAAACAAATGACCCCAAAGAATGTGGAAATTATTGAACAGTGTTGTTAATATCCTATATAAGCCAAATACTTCTGAAGATCATCAAGAAATGGCTAGACCAGTACATTGAGAGAACTGCCAGAAATTAAAATTGGGTTTAGAAAAGGCAGTGGCATGAGGGATATCATTACAGATGTCAGATGGAAACTTGCTGAAAGCAAAGAATACCAGAAGAATGTCTATTTGTACTTTTTTTGACTGTGCTAAGGCATTTGACTGCATGGATCATAACAAACTATGGCTAACTTTGAGAAGAATGGTAATCCCAGAGCACTTAATTATGCTCATGTGAAAACTATTACCTAGACCAAGGAGGCTGTTGTATGAATAGAGCAAAAGAACACTGCTTAGCTTCAAATTAAGAAAGGTGTGCGTCAGAGTTGTATCTTTTCTCCATGCATTTTTTTTATTTGTACACTAAGCAAATCATTAGAGAAGCTGAATTCTATAAAAAAGAATGTGGCATAAGGATCATAGAAAGACTCAACAACAGTTGACATTATGCAGATGACACAACCTTGCTTGCTCAGAGTGAGGAAGTCTTGAAGCACTTGTAGATAAAAAACTATAGCCAGCAATATAAATTACATCTCAACATCAAGAAAAGAAAAGTTCTTGTCATGGGGCTGATAAGCAACACCATGATAGCTAGAGAACAGGTAGAAATTGTCAACAATTTAATCTTACTTGGATCCACAAACAGTTGTACCCTTGTACCAGCAATCAGGAGATCTGGAGACATATTGCATTGGAAAGCCTATTTCCAAGTTACCCCTCTAAATTATTGAGGAGCATTGATGTAATGTGAAGATAGAGACATATTGTATTGGAAAGTCTGTCTCCAAGTTACCCTTCTAAATTATTGAGGAGCATTGATGTTACTTTGAATACTATGGTGTGCCTGATTCAGGCCGTGGTCCTTTTTTGCTGTTATCATAAATAATTAAGTGTGTATGTAAATTGCATCCTTATGTTTTTCTGGATAGTTTCAACATGATAAAGTCATTTCCCTGGATAAGTAGATAGAACTTTAAATTATAGGGAGCTATGGGGGTTTACTGGTTAACTAGTTGTACTGCCAAGAACAAAGGCAGATGATTTGAAGCCTAGTCTTCTGTGCAGTTTACAGCATCTGAAAACCTAGTAGAGGGTCAGCTGTGAGTCAGTTCTTAGCAGATGACAGTGAATTGAGTTGTTGAATTTTACATTTCTTACTCTTGTTTACTGGGCCACATAGCAATTGAGTTTCTACATACTGCCTCAGATTCCATTGTCAAATAGAACTCAACTTGCTTCCCTTTCTCCCACTATGAAATCATAAACACCCCAGATTACTAATATCTGCTGCTTATCCACCATTACTTATCTTGTTCTCTAATTATATATATAAAATTATCTAATAAATTATTTTATATACCTATTCTATCCCAGTAATTTTTATAAGGTCCTTACAGGCAATAATTGTAACTTGAGCTCTTTATGTTGGCATCCTACAGAATTTATTTCTAGGTTTAATTCATAGTAATTGCTCAATAAAGACTTTGATTTACAGATTGTGTTCTCCAGAGCTTTATTAGTATGTCAAGTTAAAATAATGACTAACTCAACTTTTTTTGTCTCAAAATATTGGGGAATAAAACCAGATATTAATGTTCTGAACAGATGCCATTGTTAGCACGCATGAAGAATCAATCATAGAAAAAGGGAAGAAATTTCGACCTAGAACCCTAAGTGAAATTATGGTTCGAAATCAAATTGAGAAGACCAAAAAGATTATAGTAAAAGCAGAAAAAGCCCAACAAAAGATCCTGCAGCGGAAAAAAGAATGGGAGGAACTGTGAGTTTTATTACATTTTTGTTTGGTTTTACCTATGTTCTTATATTTTAATTTGTGTGTTATGAAAGATATTTTTTAAATTCTTTATATTACTTGGCATTGTTAATATTTAAAACATGAAAGAAGTAATAGAGGTGGAGATTAAAAATGGGTGCACTGAATCTTCCATGGTGATGCATCTTTTAGTGGCTTTTTTGGGGGTTCTAATTGTAATAATCCTTGCATTTCAGATCCAGACATTTCATTTTCTTAGCACACTCTATAGAGTGTTGATTTTTTAAAAAATTTTATTAGTTTTAATGAACATTTACAGAGATTTTGGATTTCCATTCATTCATTCATTGTTGCACTTTTCTCCCTGCCCACCCCTCCTCCCCAGTTCGCTCCTCTCTTTGAAAAGTAAAAGAAAAATTCCTTCATTGGTATACAATCCCCTTGTCCCCCAAGTACACTTCACTATGCAACCTTAATTCTGGAATCTTGTGATAACCACAATACTCCATCATATATTGCTCTTAAACTGTACTCTCCCTCATCTGCTTCAGTGCAGGTTTTTATAAGTTGTAAATCTAACAGGAGGAGACTGCCCATCTTTCTCCCTCAAAGCAACTGATAGATTAAAACTGTTAAGAGTGTTGATTTTTTTTTCTTTTCTTTCTAATTTTTTGTTTTAACTGGAACCCTTATTCACTGTTGGTGGGAGTGTGAAATGGTGCAACCACTGTGGAAGGCTGTATGGCGCTTTCTCAAAAAGTTGCAAATAGAGATACTGTTTGACCCAGCAATTCCAC